TGGTAACTCATCATCAGCCAAAGCAACTCACATGGTCAAGCTCAAAATCAAAAGGGCAGGACATACGTTCCACCTACCATGGGACCAAAGCAAGTTACATTGGCAAGTTATCATTTGGACCCAGAAGTATTTTCATCCAATGGAAATGAGGGGGAGGATGTGTATATTTAAACAATAATGTAACCACCCTTTTCCTCTGTCACCTCAACAACCAAAAATGTGTTGAATCACTAAACCCTACCCTGGCAATCAAAACAATGCCATTATGATCAGCTACATTAGTTAGCTTTGGCTGCAAAAACAAACACCCTCCAATCTCTGCAGCACACTGAGACACATTTAGCAGACTAGTTTACTGAGAAAACAGTTATTTCTTGGCCACATTCCACATGGCAGCTATAGGTCAGCTTCTGCAGCTCTGTTCCAAGTTGTGGCTCTTCTCATTCTGAGTCCCACGCTGAAGGAACACCACCAATTTAGGATATGCTGTTCTTGTGGCAGATGGAAAGGGCAAGAGAGCTGTCAGAAATGCATTTACAGCTTCTGCTCTGAACTGGTACCTTGGGCCATCAATTCAGAAGGCCCAGCCTGACTCAGTGGGGGAAATCTATCCACCCGCAGAGGAGCATTGCTGCAAGTCCCACGGCCACGGGGGTGGGGGTGTGTGTGGGATCGTCCCACAGAGAGGCGTGAAGAGCTGGGAACAAGAACACATCCATCACAGATAGTACCACTTCGGGATGAGAAAACTTCACTGAGCAACAACCGCAGCTCTCCACTACTTACCCATAGACCTAATCTACTACAAGCAAAAGTCTGAGCACTCTTAAATACTTGCCCACTTTCTCATCTATTTTGAGAAATACACATTCAGTTTTTAGGGCAATGGCCATCTCTTCAGACCAGCATTCCCATTCAGTGCACCGTTTAGTCATACACATGGTGCTGCTATGTGTCTATTGGATGAGCACGGAAAGTTGGATTGATTGGTATCTTACTAGGTGTGAGGCAAGAACAAGTGCACTACAGGTAACAGGAAGTAACATCAAACTGAAGCCAAAGAGAAATTTAAGTGCAACATGAAACAACTTTGCCCTATGAACAAAACCGCAGGGATGGCCAGGGCAGGAAGCAGTGTAATCACCGACACGCTCCCCAGGTCAAAGGAGGCCGGTGGATGCCCTAGAGGCATCAGGACACATGCTGCACTACAGTTGTGCTTGGGCTGTAAGGACTGTAGAGTTGCCAATAGTTTAATTTTTTCGAGTGTGCCCTAAACACTGCAAAGGCACCCATGAATGAGTCTAAGCTAAGTATCCTTCTGCATCGGGTCACTGCCTAGTGTTTGACACTCAGCCCATCCTTTGATTCTCTCTGGTTTCTATATACTTTGATTCTTTCCATTTTCTACATTTCCTCAACTTACTCTAAGTTCCACCCACTTGCCTCATTTGCATTGGTTTTACGTTTTTGGACGTTTCTTAACAGTGAATAATAGTTACACTGTTGGTATATTCAGAGAGCCTGATGTTCTCATCACCTGTGTTTCTAGCTTCTAGCTGTGGCTTCAACAAAGTCAGAAGCTAGCTGGGAATTTTGGCAAATGGAAGCCTAGGGACCAGTGAGACAGAGAGTCAGAATTTATACACCCACAAAATGAGTACAATCCATATGAAATATAACCGGGATTATTTACTGGACAGCCAACCCTCAGAATAACCCACCTGGTTGAACATTGTGATGAAATCCACCTATTTCTTCCCATATCCTCCTTCCATTCACAAAGCCCAGGGGACTGGTGTAGCCCTATTTTATGGTGAATTTAGGTACTCTTCTGTAATATAGAACATCATTTTAAGCTAGCTAGGTCTTTCGATCCCCGCTAAAATAGAGTAGGCTCTCTGGTGCCAGGGATGGAACAGGCTGGGTTTGGGAGGTGGCTAAGGAGGACAGCATCGCTGACAGGCCTCCCATGTGCATCAGGTAGATTCTTTCCAATTCATTCTAGCTTCACTGCAACCTGTGATGTGCACCCTTAGGATGAGATGGGAATTTGGACCGGTCTTGGAGGATGCGGTAACTTACATGGTAATAACTCTTCCAAAAGTCAGGATTTACTGAAAAGAGGTTCTATGAAAAAGTGAAGGCAGAGCCCTGGACAATCAGCCTTGAGCATGGGGGTCCTTGAGGTTATATTCAGAGAGGGGGGATACTAGCTAAAGCAGCAAAAGGTTGCAAAAGGTTTGAAGTGACTATGTAAGCATAAGGTTTCAAGATGACCCTAAAAGCGATGTGGTCAATTAGTTAGTTAGTTGAGTCACCAAAACATGAGTAATTGATAGTGACACACAGAAACCATAATAGGATTGATTTTGGAGTTGGGGCTCAAGAAAAATTCCTGCACTATTGGTCAGTACTTCTGAGTACTGTAAAGAGGTAATTTGCACATTATTATTCTTTGTGGGAACACTGGGATCTCGCCAAAATAGAAAATTATGGTTTGGCCTATAATTTGACTGCATTCTGCTATTAGCAAGGGGTTTTAAACTGAAATGTAAATTCCTTCTCGTTTTGAAAATAATATTTTGCTTTTCTGCATATGTTGTACAATTTTAAAAGGTTGAAGATGGATAGGTTCAGTTTGAAGACATTTGTTTCAAAACTCAAAGCACCCTTTGAGAAGTAGGTGATTCCAAGAGTGAGAGCCTACAAGATGAGCCTGGAAAATCTCATCATGCTAAGGAGCAAAGAAGCTGTTTAAGAACTGTATCTCAGAGTCACCAAACAATTGATGGGGGAAGTTAGTCTTTATGTAAGTGTTCCAGTAACAAAGGAAGACATAATGATAAAATGGGAATGTTATCAATATTGTCATTTGCAGCCTCTGGTGAATTAATATATGCAGGCAATGATGATCAATGGTAGCTAACACCACAAAAGAAGAGACGGGTAGACAGGAAGGGTCTCCTAGTGGAAGGGTATTAAGCCATTTACGAAGGAGGATTGCCAAAAGTATCAAACCTAAACCTGATTTAGCTCTAGATCTACCTACCGATTGACAGGGAATACAAGAGACAGAGGGTCATGTTAAAGGATCCTAAGGATGCAATCAACCAAATTGCAGAAAATCAACCAGACTGCAGAAAATTCTACAGAAAAAAAGCCAGAAAGAAACCCTAGTATTCTTACCCCCAAGGTTGCAAGGAAAAGAAAAGAACAGAACAGGAACCTATAGACTAAAGACCAAAGAGGCTTATCAGCCAATCACAGTATGGAATCATCAAGGATAGTGGTGGCTCAGGTGCTAAACTCCCGAGAGAAACTCATGTCTGGCTTCAAACCTGACTTTCAAATGGGGATCATCTAACTGCTTAAAACCAGAGTTAACACATCTTGGAAGCCACAGGATCCACCGTTCATGATCTTTCACAAGAACAACCATGTAGATAGAGCTTTGAACTGCTTCCCCGTTGAAATGTCTCCACAGTGCTCATGAATTCAAAGCGGGTCTGTGGGTCTACGGGAGCAGCGTTGAACTAGACACCAGGGGACATGTAAGAGCAGCTGCTTCTGGGAATCATCCCATGGCCTCTCAGCAATACTCACGATAACATGCCACATGCCTAGTTAAGTGGCATTTGCCTTCATAAGCCATCAGCACACACTGTTTTTTCTTTATCTTCAAAAACTTGATGTCAATCTGACATATGCTTAGCTCTGGGACTACATGTGCAACGTCTTTGTGATACTGAACAAACAGCAAAAATATTTATTGGACTATTAAAACTGAGTGCAGATTATCATACATCTGATCCAGTTGTAAAGGCAAGGTTTATATGATGAGAGCAAGAGGAGAGGGCAGCAGGATATTTTTTCCCTAAAAGGAATCCGCAGCCTATATGTGCTCAAAGAACAAGGATCATCTCATCTTCATGGTTAAAACAGGTCATGTTTTATCTTTACCACATTGTGTATGATCTGTAAACCCCAAGGTACATCATTATAATCCAACAGTTGACTGGTCAGTTGAAACCTCTATAAACACAGAGGCTACTGCTTGCCACTGAATGTAAGAGTGAAGGAAAAAGATAGAAATCCAAATCTCTGGCCAAGTTCTGGGAGGTTGGGGATGTGACAAGAAAACCAACAAAGCTTGTTTTTTATCAAAATGTTCTATCAAAACCAAATGAGTGCTGCCCCCCCAAAAAAATTGATGTTAGCAACCTAATACTCTTCAAGGTTTTTATCAAAGATTCATATCTTCCAAAAATTATTCTCTAATATTCATTTCATAATAATCCCTCTGTTACTTTGTCTTTGCATAAAGCATTGCCATATATTTTTATATATTATTCTCTAATTATTCAGGTGTTGCCTCAGCTATATCTGTATGTCTCCAAAGGCATAGCAAATCTTCCAAAGAGCAAAGAATGAACTTGAGTCCCTACCATTTCTCTTAGTATAGTGATACAGAAGCACCCAAAAAGCCTTTGCTGGAAAAAAGAAGAAGAAAAAATGGAGGAAGGAAATGAGGGAGGGAGGGACGGTAGGCTAGCAGCACATGTAAGTCTAAAGGCTGAATATTTACATCATTGCTCGTGTTCTCAAATAAATAGTATTTCCAAGACTACATTTAAAGACAAATCTTTAGACTACCCTGAATGTCAAGAAAAGATTTACAGTCTGTGCAAATTAAGGTGAATGAATGACTTCATAGTACAGGGCTATGGAAAGTAAAGTATAATAATTCAAGGAACGTGGTGCAACTATTGAAACATGGACCAAGGGTCCAGTTAACCTTCACTCTGATGCTATCACAATTCCACAACCATGTCTTCTTCAATGCACCTTTTGATTCTCCCCAAGGGTTTTTTTTTTCCCCCTCCCTTTTTAAAGTCAAACTAAAAACGATTTAGTCAGCTCTTTGATAATATGCACATAAGAGACAAATCAATTCACCCACTTCAACAATGCTTGTTACTAGTAACAAATAAGATTACCTCTGAGTAATTTGGTGAGAGATATTTCCCATTGCACTTGGCAATGCTCCTCAGGATTTTTAATGCTTTATCTCTTTTCTTCCGAGTAATCAGCCAGCGGGGAGACTCAGGAACCACCCTGGCAAGAAAGAGAACTTTTTCTGAGTTTCATCTAATAATTTCAAAACCTAAAAGTTACAACTTGAATTTCTCTATCAAAATGGATCTTGCGATTAGGTACAAGTTTAGGAGATTCTGAGAGTTTAGGCTCTCTGCAACATAGATTATCTCAGAAAATTTACAAGGGAAGGGAAAAGTGCTCACTTGATAACTGTATCATTGGTCACAATAAAAATAATCAATATTGCATTGCTCTTGTAAAACCAGGCTGTCCTAGAACACAGTGTTCTCTATTATACATATGAAGAGAACTGGGGTAATAATGAGCATTTAGGAAGAGGTGAAGATCCAATTCATGTAAAATGATTGCCCCATATATTAAAATTAAATTAGAGGAATGATCAAAATACTTTCACTACCATAAGAGTCAAATGCATATAACCTGTAGTTTTTTGACAACTTAATTTTCTCATGCTCTTAACATTTCTTTATTCCTCAGGAGATTCCTAAATAATATTAATTTGCTTAATAGAACACACAGAGAAGCAAATTCGTTTCATTGCATTTAATTTGCACGTTGAAATATTGGCAGATATGGTTTGTTGCCTTATAGTGTTCGTGAAGATATACAAAATAACAAAACATAATTAATACTCTATTTAGATTTTCTGTTTGGGTACTTTATTAATTTATGTTAATAACAACTATTAGTCAAACAATAATCTCTATAAATTCTCAAATTCTCTAGAAATACTCAAAGCCCATAGTCACTCTGGAGATGTTAGGAAATCTCCTTAGTTGCTTTCATTTTCATGGTGGTTTAGAAGTGCAGATTCTACATTTCTGTGGAATAAGAATAAATTCAATAATGACTAAAACCACTTTACCAGTAATAAAGGAGGAAGAGAAAGCTGGGCAGCGTGATGGCTAGCTGGATCCCTTGCCAATTTGGGATAAAGTAGGCAATTCCAGGGAGAATTATGATTCCAAGGGTGAAGAACATTTGGACCACTATTCCCACAATTCTCCTTTGCTTTGAACCTACTATTTCCGTTACTGAAGGAAAACAAACACAGAGGTTAGGGAAGCTCGAGATCAGTTCCAAAATAAACAAACAGAGATGTTACATCTATCATATCCATCGGCATTGCTAGAATGTACAGAACTCTTAAAGGTACCGTCTTCCAAACATGCTGGAGCCATGCTTTCTGCTCACGCTCTTCTCTGCCAGTTATTGGCAAGCACGTACCACGCTCATCCCACACACCTAGCCCAGCACTCTTCTGGGTATACAAAGAACATATGTGTTGGTTTTAGGAAAGCTTAAATGATGACTGTTTTATCAACACAGAACTAGAATAAACTGGCTAGATTTCTATCACGGTATTTCTAAAGATGTACATATTATAGTCTCTTTAGAAGATTATTGATGAGCATTGTAATTCTACAAATAAGTTTTTCAAGATCACCACATAGTTTCTATCAAGTGATAATTCTCTCCACGGCGTTGGACTTTCCATTTATGTGATATTTCTTTAAAAATCACCTGGGGAATTTTACCGCGGGCATCCTTCCCCCCCTCCACCCACCCCAACTCATCCATTTCTATTGGTCATTAATTCTATTCCAATCACCCTGGGATATGCTACCTTAGTCGTGCCCTAAGATCACAACTTTGAAAATTCACCTAGACTCAGATCTCCTTAAAAACGCTTCATAGTCAAAAATTATCCCTTCTGCCCCAGCCAGCGACAGGCAACCTCCCAGTACTCTCTCCTTCCCCGCCCATAAAAAGATCTTCAAAGTGTCCTTAAAGTGGGCACTGCTTGGGGAGGGATTATCTAACAGTAATGGAAGGGACTAGAAGCTTAACGATCTGGAGCAATAATCAAAAAGGAGCTTTTGCATCTCCCTGCTCACAAATCCACTGTGACCCTTAGAGTAGGTAGCTGGTTCTGGATATCACTAGAGACAGAACCAAAGTAGCAGCCAGGACTTTTCCCAGTAAAATGAACAAAGAGCAACGGGAGAGTTCTCCTTCTTTCATACCCAGAAGGTCAAACTTTCTAGTTATGGAAGAGAGCAAAGGTTCACAAATGAGCTTCTCATTTTTAGGTCAGATCTCCTCCATGGTAAAAAGTTCTCCACTTGAACAAAAGAAATAGAATTAAGAAATAATAATTGAGAACACAGGGATGTCATCTCAAACCCCATCACAGAAAGACACAGAAAACGCGTTAAAAATGTTTCAAGAACTGCTGAAATTTTTAGAAAAATTAATCTCTGATAAAGCAAAGCAATAACATGCTAGTGGTATGGCTGTGCTAGAAAGTGGTTCACCCAAGTACTTTGTGACAGTCCGTATTTGGCAAAGGCGGCGTTTAGTTTCCCAAGAGTCAGAATCTCACCCCTGCACCTTCCTATTTGCAGAGATCATTACTGTGGCAGCCGCCAAGCCTCCGCATAGGAGCCCCAAGAGGGCTGACTGGCCGGCACCGCCCAGCCACCTGTCCCTGGCTGTCAGAGACATGGAGATGTAGAAATGTCTTACCAATTACGTAGCAGGTCATCCATGTCCCCTTTCCAAACACACCTTGTAGGAAGCGGAAGACCACAAACACAGGGAAATTGGGTGCAAATGCCACCACAACACCGGTGACGCCAACACCGAAACAGGATATTAGGTAAATGACTAGTCTGCCGTACCTTTTTGAGAAAGAGAGAGGAAGAAGTCACCTTCAACGTTTCCTTCGACACAATGAGAAAGACTATCATTAGAAGTGTTGCTAAAAGAGGTTTAAGTATAGAAATTTTGTTTTTAAGACTGCATTACTACCAGGTACAGGATTGTTGAAAATTCTACATTTTGTTTTATAGCAAAACCAGGGCAAATAAGAACATGTGCCTCTGAAATGACATGACAAAATGTAAAGCACAGAATGCATTCTTTGGGATTGCAGTTTCCAAAAAGATGACGCTCTCTATCACGTCTGGTCTCCCTGGTGGCACCGCTTGGACATTTTATAGCATTTTTGTGAGTGGAGTGGGAAGGGGGAAGGGAAAAGGCCCCAGGCCTTCAGTTTTGGCTCAACCATCAGCCAGCCGTGCGACCTTGGGTCCATGTTTTCAGCAATCCAAGACGCAGATTTTGTTTATTTGCTTGTGGGTTGTTTCTTCCCCCCTCCCTTTCTATGGTGAGGTTGTAGGGGCTCAAATGAGAAGCTGATGTGAAAGCTCCTTACAAACCATGAAGCTCACAACCAACGTGAGCTGTTCTTAAGTTCTGCATTTCATCCTCATCATTTACATAACTAGGATTAGAAGGATAGGCGAAGGGCACACGTTATTGTGTGCCATATTCTGGGATTCTGATGTTAAGTGGTTCGGTATAGGTGTGCCAAATTATTGGCTGGTGGAAATCTGTCATCCATGACCTTTCAGAGATTTGATTCAAAAACACTTTCCCGTAGAAATTCCCACCAAATCCACATATGCAGCATCTTGCTTCGGTCCGCGGAGTGGAGACAGAAGTCGTCCTGGTTTATCTAGGTTTTGAAATTCACTGCCTGTCCTTCCTACACTGTCCTCTCATAGATAGGCGTCCTGTTACATTGTTTCTTGTCCTTTCCTTCAACGACACGAAGGAGAGGAGCTGACAGATGGCTGGCCCTGCGGTAAGGCAGACTCATTCACGGGTCTATCTTCCTCTCCAAAGCGTTGAGTCATCTCTGAGGATAGCCACTCAGTCCCCTGCTAGGACATAGGTAGAAAGGGCCCCCCTCCTTTAGTTGAATTACTTTTATTTGGAGATATGTTTATTGATTGTGAGAGAGAAACATGCAGAAGCAGCAAAACTTAATGTTTAAATCAGAAATATGTGTTGAAAAGACATGGCTCCATTGCGAGTCGTAGCCAGGTAGGGTTCTCCCCTAGTGATGTGTGGGGAGATTAAGAAAAGAAAGATGCATGGGAAGGGCTATGAGAAGAAACCACAGACAAAGACATGGATGAAAGACAGGGAAAGAGCATCAGACACAAGGATTAAGGAGAAAGTCATACGCAGAAGAGGGTGTCAGGGGGCTGCAAGAGAGAGCTAAGAGACAGATGAAGGAGCAGGAAAAGAAACCAAGGGTTCTACCCACTTTGAAATCCTGGTCTGGAAAAATGCAGACCATCTATTGGTGAAAGCATTTGGGGCATTTTATTGTCTACAATTAGCTAATTAATGGCATTGGGCCGTTCTCCAAGAGGTACCCTTAGCATTGTGCATCACGAGCATGGTCACAAGGACCCACCCAGGCTGGGCTAGAGTGACCAGAGCGATGTTCAGCCAGACACGACCAATGGCCAAAGCTTTTCTACTCCTGTCCTAAGGGGTATAGAAGGAATAATTAAATTACTGCACATATTTTCATAGTTAGAATTGGGATAAAGGAATAGTTCAACATGAATACAATAACCAACATCAATAATGGTTCAAACAGGGATATTTGAATAGAAAGCCTGACTATCCTCAATATACACAACTCACCATGTCTGCCATTAACTGGTATATTTATGAATGTTAAATGATAAAGTTCTTTTAACAGTCTTTGGAAAAACTTTTCTGCAGAATTTTTAACTTACAGAATAAAATACAAGGATTTCTTAAAAAAATTAAATGAAACATATTTGGAAGGAGCCAACTCTGACTAAATTAATCAGACCACGACCAGTAAGTTATGGAAGAACATGGAATCGCCTCTGCTGTGTTCAGCCAGCCAGCCATTGGCCCCACGACGAAGTTACTGCATTTCTGGTGTTTGTGTTTCCACTCAGATGCCTGCAGACCCACTGGGAGCAGCCCCATCCATTCGTGCAGTTCAAGGAGTAAGGAGATGGAGGTGAGCAAGGAGAGAATTAGTCCAACCAAATAAGCATGAATGTCGCAAGTAGAGAGATTAAGATTTTTTCCAAGTTTAGCAAAAATTGTTTTCTAATGGCTAACATCATTTTCATCTCCACACGTGTGCATCATGTTCTAGTGCTGTCAACCGCTGTCACATCCGTGCCTACCTGTCTGCTGCATAGCCCAAGGTGAAGGCTCCAGCCAAGAAGCCCAGGTTTAGGACAGCCTGTGTGAGGTCCAGCATCCAAGCATTGACACACACGAGGTCAAACTGGGAAAACAAAGCAAATACATGGGAGACTTATGACCCTGCTTATCCTAAATATACCTGGTCTTCTGTCAAAATCAGCGATCATTAAACATTTTTGCCCAAACCCACTCCTTAAAATTTTTAAATGTATCACATGCATATTTTATATTGATGTATAAATGTTTTATCAGTTTCAATAACTGCCAGAGATGTAATTCACTGTATCCAATAGTCTAAACACTGGAGCCATTGGCCACCTACCATCACCCAGTAAAAACAAGCTCTTCAATAGTCTCAATCTGAAGTCAATTTTTTTTTCTCTTTGAATTCTTATTTTTGTTCCCACATACTTACATCCTAGTATTGTAAGTAGAAAATGTTTTATTGTGTTTTGCCTTAATGTGTATTCCATTAATGGTGAGGTAAAATAGTTCTGTGTGTAAAAATTATGTATATAAATTGACATTTAATTAAAAAAATTTTTTCCTGTGACAATGTCTCTAAAGATTCGCATTCTTTCCCATTGAGTTATAATTACAGTTAGTAGACCACCACGGATGAAAACAGAAAATCTGATGAATTTTGAAAAAGATTTATTGCACAGAATAACATTTTGTTGGAAATGCACCTCTGTATTTCTAGAAGAATGTTAAGAAAGCCCGGGGTTTTCCAGCTGGTTCATGTAATCTGTGGAGGAAGATTGTTTATTACCAGAACCAGTTAAGGCTAAACATCAATTCTGCTCCCTTTTTTCATTTTTAAAAATTTATGTGCCAGGAAAACTTGTTTGTATAAGTGAATTAATGAGAACGGAGAGAGTTTTGTTAGAGCAACATCATTCAATTCTTCTGGCTCCTTCTTAGTTACATGCTGAGACTCACATAGCGATCCACCATCAAAATTAGTTTTGCTTTTCTATTAACCTACAGGCCATTTAAGTTCTCCTAAAATCTTGCTGCAAGGAAGTAAAAGGAAACCACCACACTTACAAAGAGTTGTTTAATCAAATCATTAGGGTCATTTACTTTCTTCATTACCTTCTTAATAGCCAAACCAATAGTCCAAACTGTCCCACTGTTTGGTTCCCCACAGGTTTTTAAGCCTCAGGTGGGTGCATCACAGAGGGATGGGAGAGGGGTAGGATTCCTTTAGCAAAGTGGGAGAAGGGCATTAGGAAAAAGGACCTGCATCCTCATTGCATGCATAGTCTCAGGAAGATCCATTTTGGACCTACATGAGCTGAGGACCTGACAATGGATTCCCTTCAAAGTACTCCAGCCCTTCCCACCCTGTGATTGGTTTTGTGTACCTCCAAAGGTACACAAGGTGGGCAAGCCCACCCCAACTTGAAGGCCATTCGTAAATACACAATCATAAGCAAACCGTCACACTTATTTATGGAACCTCACCCATGATCTGTCACTTAACATAGCTGGAAAAAAACAGGAGCATGAGTAGCTGGCCCACCTCACAGAGTTGCTGGGAAGACGTATGGAGGTTAAAAAAGTAAAAAAAGATTTACATATACACATGGGAGTAGGAACTGTGGTGATTTAAATGAGTTTTATCATCCATTTAGGTACTGCTTTCTCAGGGTGCAACAATTTTAAGTAAAATTGCAGACGATTAATTATCTGAAAGAATTTCCCATTGGAATTCAACATATAGAGAGTGCAATTAGAGGACAGCCACATGCAAAAGAATGAAACTGGACGGCTTATTTACACCATATACAAAAATAAACTCAAAATGGATAAAGGACCTAAATGTGAGACCTGAAACCATAAAAATCCTAGAAGAAAACACAGGCAGTAATTTCTCTGACATCAGTTGTAGCAATATTTTTCTAGATGTGTCTCCTGAGGCAAGGGAAATAAAAGCAAAAATAAACTATTGGGACTACAGCAAAATAAAAAGCTTCTGTACTGCAAAGGAAACAATCAACAAAACTAAAAGGCAACCTACAGAATGGGAGAAAATATTTGCAAATGACATATCCGATAAAGGGTTAGTACCCAAAATATACAAAGAACTTACAAAACTCAAAACCCAAAAACAAATAATCCAGTTTAAAAAATGAGCAGAAGACATGAGGGGCACCTTGGCAGATCAGTCGGTTAAGTGTCTGCCTTCAGCTCAGGTCATGATCTCAGGGTTGTGGGATCAAGCCCACGTCAGGTTCCATGTTCAGCGGGGAGTCTGTTTCTCTCTCTCCCTCTGCTCCTCCCCCTGCTCTCTCTCTCTCAAATAAATAAATCTTTAAAAAATTTTTTAAATTACAAAAGTGAGCAGAAGACATGAACAGACATTTCTCTAAAGAAGACATCCAGATGACCAACAGACACATGAAAAGATGCTCAACATCACTCATCATCAGGGAAATGCAAATCAAAACTACAATGAGATATCACCTCACACCTATAAGAATGGCTAAAATCAAAAATACAAGAAACAAGTGTTGGCAAGGACGTGGAGAAAAAGGAACCTTCTTGGTGGGAATGCAAACTGGTGCAGCCACTGTGGAAAACAGTATGGAGTTTCCTCAAAAAGTTAAAAATAGAACTACTCTATAATCTAGTAATTGCACTACAAGGTATCTACCTAAAAAGTCCAAAAACACTAACTCAAAAGGATATATGCACCCCTATGTTTATTGCAGCATTATTTATAACAGCCAAACTATGGAAGCAGCCCGAGTGTCCATCAATAGGTGAATGGATAAAGAAGATGTGGTATATATATATGTATATATATATATATATATATAATGGAATATTATTCAGCCATAAAAAAGAATGAAATCTTGCCATTTGCAACAACATGGATGGAGCTAGAGAGTATAATGGTAAGCAAAATATGTCAGTCAGAGAGAGACAAATACCATATGATTTCACTCATATACGGAATTTAAGAAACAAAACAAAAAAAAGAGAGAGAGACAAATCAAGAAACAAACAAACTCTTAACTACAGAGAACACACTGGTGGTTACCAGAGGGGAGGTGGGTGGGGGGAGGGGTGAAATAGGTGATGGGGATGAAGGAGGGCACTTGTCGTGATGAGCACCAGTGATGTATGGAACTATACTATACACGTGACAGCAACATAATACTGCATGGAACACTACATCAAAAACCAATGATGTACTGTATGGGGACTAACATAACATAATAAAGAAATTATAAAAAAATAAATGTATGAAAGAGAAAAAAATAATACTGTACATTAACTACACTGGAATTAAAATAAAAACAAACAAACAAAAGAATGCACCAAGAATAAAAGTGTATCCGATCTCAGAAATCAAACAGGCAATTTGACTGCCAGAGAAAACATTTTGCTTCAGAAAAGTGGCAGCCAGTGTCAAATAGAAATTCCCAAAGAGTAGAATTTGCCTCCCCCAGCTGTACTTCAGATAACTGGATTAGCTGGGGACGCAGGCAAGCTTTCCAAAGATGACATAGCAAGGCCCAGCAAGAGCTATCCTTTCAATGGATTTGTTCAGCTGCTTTTGAATTGTATGAATTAAAATACCCTCCCATGGTCTTTAAATCCACAAAATATTCTTTAAAATAAAATTATCTTTTTCACTCTACCTTAAGAGAAACTGTCAAAAAGGATTTTTTCATATTTCATATTAAAATAAATATTTTTTCATATTTTAACTGAAAATGAACATCTAAGTGGTTAAAGTTCTGCGGTAACATTCTCTAAAGTACTATGATGCCATCTGGGCTACCTATTGTTCTGCATCCCAGGGGCTGGTGGTGTGGACACTACATTTCCCAGAACCCCTTGCCAGCAGGTTCTATTTAGGTTCTGCCAGTGGGGGAGGGGAGAGTAACTGCAAGATCAGAAAACAGGAAGGAGGTAGTGGTGATTCTGCTGCTGGACGTGGCAGCAGCTCCAGCTCTAATCGTGGCAGTGACAACAGTGGCTGGTGGCCTAGAGGTCAGTCAGCGTTTCTAACGACTCGCCTTCCACATGGGGGCCCAGAGATACTGGCCCACAGGCTCCATACTGGCCCACAGGGCAAGGGCTTTGCAGGTGCTGACCTTCCTAATCTCTCCCCTCTGTGCTTTTCTAGCCCTTCCAAAACAACTCAAATCCAAATCCTTTTGCTAAATCCCTTCCTGCTTGAAATACCTAGCCTGATTTCTGCCTTGAAGACTGGGAGCCTGTTAGCTATCAAAAGTACAAAATAAAGTAACCTAAATTATGTAAGGAAATGTACACACACACACACACACACACACTTGTGTTTCCAGTACAGGGACCAACACAGTGGACACAAGCATTCAGGGGCTTGGTTTTGGCTCTTACTCATAACATCCAGGAGGCAGACCCCTGCCTCCTGGGCCCAGCACTTCCTAATCAGCTCTGAGCTCACTGCCTGCTACGGTAAGGGTAACAGCTCTGGGTCTGTGATATGTTTTCATCTTTAAAGAGAGGTTAACAGGCAATGAAGCCCATGAGCTTCATAGGGTAAGGACTTCTTTTTTTTAAAGATTTTATTTATTTAGTTGACACAGAAAGAGAGACGCAGCGAGAGAGGGAGCACAAGCAGGGGGAGTGGGAGAGGGAGAAGCAGACTCCCCACCAAGCAGGGAACCCAACGTGGGACTTGATCCCAGGACCTGAGCCGAAGGCAGATGCTTAACGACTGAGCCATCCAGGCGCCCCTAAGGACTTTTTCCTGAAATAAAGTACTAAAAGTTTGTTGTAGTTCCCACAGAGACCTAAAACCTACCTCTTGTCAAACTCACCAAAGTCTGAATCAAGGACACAAGCATTTATGTTTTTCTCCTAAGGCCATTTATCAAGAACAAGTGAGATATCTCCTTTTTATTTTTTAAGTGTACACATGCAAAGACATTTAAAAATTATTTTTAAAAACTCATAAATCCATGTGTACCCATTCTGTTCATTACTAATCTTCAAAATCACTTTTACACAAAGAGAATTACTCCCCTTGGCATGAGCAGAAAGCCGATCTGATAAAACACTCAAATAATTCTTCAT